ATTTAGGTCCCCACAAGGATAGTAATGCTAGGCCACACACACACACACACACACACACACACACACACACACACACACACACACACACACACACACACATACACTCTCTCTCTCTATCACACAAACACACACACACACACACACACACATATATACACACACAAACAGGCAGGCAGGCATTTGAAGTGCCTCTGAACTCTGCAGACAGGAACAGGGAGAGAGAGGGATCACTGGGCCCATAGAAATCGTTAATGTGAGACCGTGCTCATGCCTCCAGCGTCCTCTACACTCTCAGATATAATCCAAGGTCTACTACATACACAATGTCCATCCGTTATACCTCCTCTGCCTTAGACTCCTTTGTTTACGTAGTGAGATCAATATGTAACACTCCCGCTTCTATTGGCTAGCACTCAAACACATTGTAGGCCCTACTTGAAATGCTAAGGGGAGAGACATTTCCAAGCGGTTGACCAATCACAACAGAGCCAGCCAGCTAACCAATCACAGAGCTGGCCAGGGCTCTGGTTTCAGACAGAGAGTGAAAAGAGGTGCTGCAGCACAGGCAGTATGAGAAAAATAAAGAGCTTTTTGAACATTAAAGCAAGGAGACATGTCAGAGTAGAGACACTAACTCAAATGAACCTGAGAATGAGTTAAATAGGTCCCTGTTAAATGCTGTTGCCACTTTACTCTGACCATGGGTCACATTAGCCTCTATATTAAGGGCTATTGTTTAATTAAAAATATGGGATTTCCATTTGTTCCTTAATAGCATACATTTTAAATATTGTATTTCTCAATGTGGGAAATAAACACTCGTCATGATCTGCCTTATTATGGACCTGGGTATACATTTGAAACTACTCAACGCCTCTACGTTAAATTCTCTGCATAAGCATGATGATAATGTAACCACAATGTGAAAACAGATCATCATTAGACTCCTCGTTGTCAAGTGTGTTCAACAACTCTGCGCGATAAGCATAGATGGAGGCAGCTGAAGAGGAAGATTGAAGGAGAAAACCGTTGATAAATCCTCTGTCTCCGAGGCCCTCGTTGTGAAGCGAGGGCCCCGGAGACAATGAACGGGGAATTAGATATTATATCTATTTATATCTGCGGTCTGTGCAGGAGAGGTTTTAAAAATGTAAGTCAGACGGGAACACGATGCCGCCTATAATCCCCTCGCCGGGCGGATCAGTTACAGTTGGTTTAAAAGCGTTGATAAGCTGAGCCAAATCCACCTTTGTCTGAAACACAAAGCAATGACATAACAGGCTGAAATTAAATACATCGGGCCGTTCACACAGTTCCTCCTGGCCTGCACACATCTGACTAAGTGTCACCTTTTTATTTTTAGTAAGAATTATAAAAGTGTTTGTCTTGAAAATCTCATATGTCTGACGCTTTCTGGTTCATTAGGAGCCGGTCTGCATCTGCCCCAGTTTCTCTGCTTTTGATCAGACTGTTTGGCAAAAATGATTAAATATCTTCCTCTCCTTCTCTCTCTTTGCTTCATCCCGTATTCTGCTTCTTCTTTTTCATTATCTCCTTTATCTTTCTCCAGAGATGAACCTGGGGTTGCAGGATGATGACGACGGCACCATCAACGCTCTCTGCAGCCAGATCAACAACTCCTTCACCAATCCAGCAGAGGAGATGTTCCACAACCCCTGCTTCTCTTCAAATGGCCCTCCAGCCTGCACCGCGCCCCCCGCCCTGCCCCCACCACCGGGGACCCTGCAGGGTAAGAAAGGCTGCATAAGTCACATTCTTTTTAAATATTGCACTCTCTTGGGCAATTTCACAAAAATAGATTGCAGCCACTGATAGCACCTTGAGTTGGGAATCATTTGTACCCACTCTCTGCCTGTGTCGAGGTCTTATTCTCTACTAGTTTCTGTCTTTTTTATATATATATATATTTAGGTGAGATTTCTTCATTATTCTAAGTACAAAACATTGCAACCTGTCACCACAGCACACACACAATAAATATACCTAAGCAGGGTATATGCAGGAATCCTGAAGTCAAATGTAATGTATGGACCCTCTCCATACATTTTAAGACCTCATCGCCACTTGGAGTTCTAACCGGTTACCTTGGCGACACACTTTACCTCACATTGACTATATACAGTATTGATTGTCCTTCCTCCTTATCGTCCAACCATTTGGACGCAAACTTGCATTTCCCCATAACGATGTTGCTTAGCAACCGGCGTAAACGGACCTTCGCGCGCTATCAAGCAGTGAGCGCGCGATGTCCTGTTCAGATGACGTCAAATCCAACGGGATGCCATAAATAAACTACACAGAATCACACTACACACCTACGCAATGATTACATTCAGGCAGACTGTAGAATACAACCTCTTTGGACAATTTATATACTTATTGGAAACAAGCTTCAAAATGTAATACCTTGGAAAATGCCCTTTAATACTTTTTAATAACCTTAATTTTCTCTAAATTGATTTATCAACTTTTAATACTTTTTAAGGCCCCGCGGACACCCTGTTAAATAAAAAGATTGCATTTTTTACTTTGATGAGGGTCATTACATCAATATTTTATAATTTTGCAGTAAATGTCTGCATATAACATTAATAAAATATGTGCGAATTGCACAGGAGCACCAAGACACTATTTCATTGGCAGTAGTTTCAGCCTTTGCAGATCTTTTGAGTATTTGTCACTGATTTCAAAAGTTAGACCAATCTTTATGTGCACCTTCCTCCAGAGGGACTTTCTCTCCCACACTCTCCCATTCATCACACTTTTTCTAATTCTTTATAACTGTGTGTCCCTCTAGGTAATCCTTCCTGGGTGCAGCCGGAGCTCCACTCCCCTCCTCCTGTGGCGATGCAGATGCATTGTGGACACCGGCGCACCCCCTCCGAGGCCGAGCGGTGGCTGGAGGAAGTCTCCAAGGCTGTGAAGGCTCAGCAGACCCCTCCCCCAGGCCCCTCCATCCCCATCATCCCCGGACCCCCCTCCATATCTGCTGTGTCCACCATCCCCATGTCCCTCGGCTCCATGTCCAAACCTCTGCTCTCGGGCCCCCCTGCTCTCTTAGCTCAGGCACCAATGCCCCTCCCACCCATGTCAATATCATCAGTTCCTCTAATACCCGGCCCTCCAGTATCTGGTCCCCCTATGTCTCTCCCTTCCATGTCCATCCCCACCATGTCCGGTCCCAGTATGTCCGGCGCCTCCATGCTCCAGCCTTCCCTCTCAGGGCTCCCAGGCTCCCACCCCAGCTCCATGCAGCCCTTCCCCTTGGCTTTTGACACCACCCCCGCTCCGGTGGGGATGTTCGGCTCCCAGCCTGTCCAGCCGGCCTTCGTTCCCATGCAGACGTACATGCCCGGCCTGGCCAGCTCTATGACATATCCCAACGCCAGTGTGCCTGTGGTGGGCATCACTCCGTCGCAAATGGTGGCGAACGTCTTCTGCACGGCAACAGGCTCATCAGGTGGAGGTGGAGGTTTATCGATGGGACTGGGAATGACCGGGGGGCACCATTCCTACCCTGGATTACCGGGGTTTTCCACACCCCCTTTCTCTCCCACCCCTCCGTTATCATCAGCCCTTAATGGCCTCCCGCCGCACAGCAGCTCCTCCATGGGCCTCCAGAACGGGACGTCCAGCAGCGGGAGCAGCTGGCCTCCAGAGGGCAGCCAGCTGACAGCTCCAGCGCCCCAAGAAGATGATCGATTCGAGGCCAAGTGGGCGGCTCTGGAGGCTAAACCTCCGCAGCCCGGGAACAAAGCACCAGCTGCAGCGGCAAACCCCTTCTCCAACAATCTTCAGAAGACTTTTGAGATTGAGCTTTAAGCGAGAGTTGACGTCCCAAAGCTGTAGACCTGAAGTTAGACCTGGAGTTGAAACGGGATGCAGGTCTTAAAGTTAGCCTAGCATCCAATCTGCCCAGCAACCTGCTCAAAGCTCTCATAGGAGTTAATGATATAATGATCTTAATTGCTTTCTTGACACTCCCATGAGAGCTTTGAAGACGTTGGCGGTTTGCTGGGCTGTGATTTGGAGGATCTAGCTCACAAGACTTGAGGGATCGAATCCTCCGCTCCACCCGCTAACCACCTCCCTGCTTTCACTGCTCTACTCCGACTTTACTTTATTGCTGCAAGTCCCTGGATACGTGCCCCCCCGCCTGAGGACATTATAGAGGGGCACAACTCAGTGGTTTCTTTCTTAAAAAGTGGGATGCATTCCAAACTCGTGAGATATTTTCTTTCTGGTGGAGATTTTGATGTGCAGAGAAGTGATGCCGAGCACGGAAAGGATTAGCCAATGAAGTAAGACCCGACCCTTCCAGCCCCAAAAGGACTTACTGACTAATAGTAGAGATTTATGGCCAAATTATTTTATTTATTGTACTTCATTTTTATTTTAACAAGTTATATATACTTTAAAAAAATCTAAATCTTAAAGCAGTGTTTTTTTTTTTATCCCATATATTTATTTTAGCTGAGAGGAGGGAAACTACAGGTCGCTTAAAATGTGTGCAAAGCATTGTGGGAGTCATGTGACAGGAACCAAATAGGATGAAGCAGTGTGTGTGGTGAGACAGTGAGTGTATATAGCGGCATGTTTCTTCCACCTCACGTATATCCGCTCCACTGAGGCCCGATGAGTCATTTTGACTAAAGCCTTCCCTCCAGGGTTGCCGGGACATTAAAAAAAACGACTTCAGGATATCACACACACACACACACACACACACACACACACACACACACACACACACACACACACACACACACACACACACACACACACACACACACACGCACACGCACACGCACACGCACACTCTGGACAATACAGCACAGACTTCATCTTCTCCAGAAAGGAACTTTAACATCTCAGTGGAAACACAAAAAAACCGATGCACTACTTTACAGGATTCATACTCCTTTTGATATGTATTGATAAAACACAGGGTATAGTCTCATCACGTTCAATATGATTGTGTATTCACCTCTGCTGCGTCACTGTTGCATTAGTATTGCACTCATTACAGAGTTTGGGATTGATGAGAAGAGGTAATAAGATAAGAGGAACATGAGCGGAGGCTTGGCAAATGACAGATGTTTTGGATGTGGGATTATTGAAGACATTTGATTGAGTGAGTAACAGAAAGAATAAATTGTTTGAGGTAAAAAAAAAAAAAAGGAAAGCCTGTATGTGAGCGATTGAAGGAGAGAATGGAGTCATAACGTTTGAACAAATTGAGATGGGGGAAGTCTGAAGAAAGAAAAATGGGATACGATATGAAAAAAGAGTGAGAAAGAGCGTGTGAAAATATTGAGAACAAAGAAACATTCATCACACAACCCACGCACTGTCTGCTGTTTCTACAGCCTTGTCTCAAAGCCAAGCCAAATCTGTGTTCCTCAGCTCGTAAAAACCTCACAAATTTGATCATATTTAAAAAGATTATTGCTTATTATATGAATTACAGCCTCATGGTCAAATGTGCAACACTATCAACGGAGCTTTCTGTGTTTTAACTTGCCATTTGAGTCATAAAAGAAAACATGATGAAGCAGAAACTTTATTTATAGACGCAGGTTGTTTCTGTATGTTATGTAGAAAGGGGAAACTGAACAGAGATGCTCCTCCAGAATGTAATTGTGTGGATATGGACTGTCGCTGATTGAGTTTCCTGCTCATTACCCCTTCACACTTTAATTGGATTATTCTGTCTCTTCCTGTCTGGCTGCCTGTCTTTCAGAAACTTAAATTAATGTATCCCAGGAATACTTCATACCATGCCCCGCCTAAAACGATATTGTTTCCCCAGCAAAAAAACAAAACCAAACTGCATTTTCTTTCAACCCTCCTCTCTCCTCCAAGACCAGACTCATTGAGACGAAATCAATGCTTTTATTTTTATTTTCAAATATATTTTAGACTCGTTTGCACGCCCTCCAAATTATAAATGTAGGTTAATTGTGTTCCGCGTTAAAGCAAACTAAATGACCTCATAAACTTGATTGTAAAACCATAGTTTAGTGATGGTAACAAAGCAAACCAGTGGGATTTATTTTTAATCTTTATTTACAGATTTTTTTGTATTTAAACCTACATATTTGTATTGTAATTACATTGTACAAAAGATAAATAAAGTAATATAATATTACTCCTGTTCCTGTTTTGTAAGTGGTGTTTTTTTGCAGCGTTTCCTGAACTACTGTATTTCTTGTGACTCTCTCTATCCTTTACGTTCACGTCTATTTTGTTTGCATTTCTTCCTCCTGCCGGCTCTTGTTATTGATCTGGTTGTCCTTACTGTTGGAGACTGTTTCATGCAATACGATAATCCTTCAAAATCGACAGATATCAAGGCAAGACACAAGGAAACAGACATTGTTTTGTGAAAAGGTAAAATAATTCCACCTATTGGCGAACTCTATAAGACTACAACTCCAACGCCTTTAAATAGACAGCGATATCGGCAACCTCTGTCCCAACCGTTTCATTTTTTAATGTGATCATCCAACAGAAAGACAATCTAAGTTTGCTAATCATTTTATCTGACTTTTGCATCTTCAGTATTTATTTTGACTAATGAAGACCGTCTTTTCTTATTCATTTACTATTTCCATGTTACTACGGTTACTACTCTCTCCTCTCAATAAGTGATCGGGGGCGTCACTCTCCAGCTTAACCCAATCACTTCGCTCTATTCCCAAGAGCCTATCATAGCGCTCTGCTAAACCTTTTAAATGTTCTCTCCCCTCTGACAGCTGTCATTTCAGGTGACTCGACGCAACCTTCCTCCTCAACCCCCTTTTCACCTCCTACCCCTCTAAATCATGCTCTGAATACAGGGTCAAGCTAAGCCCCTCCCCTTCAGACCGAACCCAACCATCCATTCACCACCACCAGGGTCAAGCTAAGCCCCTCCCCTTCAGACCGACCCAAACCATCCTTTCACCACCACCAGG